GGAAACTTGTATTGGTTCTGTCGCTGCGGTCAGCAGTCAGTCTGGCGCTTACAGGCAATCCTCCTTTTCCAAGGGAAAAAGAAAAAATAATGGGAAGAATGAGTAACATAAAGGCCTTGCTTATGTTTCTTTTGCCATCCAGGGCTTCTTCTTTTCTGTATCATACAGCTGCAGTAATCATTTCAAATACAGTATCTGTGAACTGTAAATTACTTGCTTTCTTGCAAACTGCTAACATTTATTGATAAACTGCAAAATATAAAATCATTCTGATACTTTCTGCTTTTCCTCTTTGTAATCAAAAAGCTAACTTCAGCAAATGAGCTCATAACTGTCAGACTTGCTCCTCCTTTCCATACTGGAAGGTACACATTAATTTTTAAAAAATTAACATGTTTCAGCTGCTTAACCTTGGCTTTGATGGTTCAACAAGATTTGCAGCAATTACCCATCTCAGCAATCATGTTCCTACCATATAGTTTACTGGGTTGGTTTATGCCCAAAGGCTGATGCCTTTGACTGACATAAATATTCCATGAAGCTAAAAAGATTACAAGCTGTTTTTCTTAAGAGCAGAAAATGAGAAGGGGAAAAAAAAACCCCAAACCAACCCCGAACAGCTGAAAAATTTTCCAAATTAGGCAACCATCTCATTAGTTTCTCTGGAACGAAGCTAGAGGGGGAATTTCTACCCGAGAAAGCACAGGTGTAAGTGATGCTGGCCACCACGCACCGGAGAGCTGCAAGAGCAAAGCCCGCCAGCCAAGAGATAAGCCTCTCAAAGTGCAGGTTTATGATAGAAATGAGCTGATAGAAGCACAGGCTGCTGCCAAAGCCGGGCTCCCGTTACTTCCCATCCTAGTGCTGAGTGCTCCGGCTGCTGCCCTCGTACCGGCATAGACACCCACTTGGTAGGGATGGTTCGTTCCCCTCCCCGGCACCTGGCTCAGACCCCTCAAAGCAGCTCACCACGCAGTAAGTGGAGAACAGCAGAAAGGAAAGGGATTTCCATTATTACAGAACTCAGAAACCTTTGGAGGACTGGGGAGAAAAAGCAACAGCTAGTGCTCTACCCTTGCAGTCAGTGCTTAGGAAGGGTTCTCTAACTCTTGTCCACCTGTCAGGTGCTGCTGAGGAAAGAATAAATTCACTGTGACAAATGATTATGTTTAAACTTCTAGACTAAATGAAATACTATCATTTCCCTCCAGCATCTCCAGCCAGCATCAGTGGGTTTCAGCACCTGTTGCAATCATAAATGATAGAAACCAACACATTTAAAATACAATAGACCATTTGCCAGAACTTAACTGTGATCCAAAACCTGCGAGTAAGCTCAGCTGCTGTGGCCACTTGTACTTACCCTTGGGATAACAGCTTAAGAAAAGCTGTTACGGTATAATACGTACATGGCCTAAATGGGTTTCCATTGCAGAAAGCAGGAACATCTTGAAAGGGTCTTTCTAAACCACCCCAGCACCTCAGACCCGCACCACAGACCTGATTCACCTGTTACAGCCTGGGCGTTTGTTCAGGAAATCAGGGTTGGATGTGTAGGAAGCGAGTGTTCCAACCGCTTTGGCTTTTTTTAAACCATTACAGCATTTGGCTGTTTTTTTTTAAAAACTGCACTTTGTGACAAAAGCTAGTAATAAAACTACCAAATGGCTTCAAACGCCTTGCTGCACTACTAAAAGCAGGCAGTTGCTCTGCTGCTGCGTGTCCCACATTTGAGATGTGCTCTCCTGTGCTGGGTGACAGATGGGAGTTTATATAAGACGCTTGTCAGCACAGCATCAAAGATTCGCTTCCACAAAATGCTCTCTAAAATGCAACGTTTTAATGAAGATGGTATCCTTGGGAATTCAGACCTGGACTTTGTCCTTCACCGATCGCAGAACACAGTCTAGGGCAGTTCTCAGTTTATATTCTTAATTAGGAATCATTTGTTAGCTGATGCAAGTAATTCTTGCGCTGCTGTCTGTGAAACTAAGAAAATATTCTTGCACCTCTAAGCTCAATTTGAAAATATATAACCTGCACATAGGGGAAAAACTGCTTTTATATATCTTCAGCTATCCAACTTGGGTTTAAATTCCAAGGGCTTGGCCAGCAGCATTACTCTAGTTCTTTGAAAAGACTCAAACCCCATTTAATTCAAACGTGGGAATAGGATCAGCTAAATCAGCCCCTGAAAACCTCTCAAGCGGGTATCAGGCAAAGTTCTTCATATGCAGCGGTATGGATTGACACACTTTGCTCAGCTCTGGAAAGGGCAATAGCTGCCACGCTGCTCAACGTAACTGTTTAAGATGAGGCAAAAAACTCCAAACCAAGTGCATACAACACTTACTGAGTGACAGTGCCTGCATCACTTAAGAAAAAAACAACCAAACCAAACCAAACCCCACAAAACCAAACCAGCAGCCTTTTCCCTTATTAAAGCTCCTGAACTGAGGGATCCAGCAGATGACGATGGGGCTGCAAGCCTGACGACAACACAGTTGCAAAAGTGGAGTTACTGGAAGCCTGGAAGTGTAGGCAAAAGTGAAGTTAGGAGTAGAAAAGTTCGTGAATCAATTTCTTTCTCCAGCTGTGCTCTCTGAAAATCCAAGCAGCAGGATATGTAACAGCTTGTACGGTCACAAGACTCTTAAGAGTAACTTGGCTAATGACCATATTTCCAAAATAAGTTAGCCATTAACATTGGTTAGGTATCTATTAACTACCTCTGTTATCATATTTTGTACAAATAACACACCAGTACAGCTAGGTTAAACAGAAAGTAACACCTCACTTTTTTAATTAACTGTTTTCCAATCGAATCTTTGCATGGCATTAAACTAGGAAAAAAAGAAAGGAACAATTTCATTTCTACTCATGCACTTAATTAGAATTTCCTTGTTTACATTTTCATACAGATCAGATTGAAATATATCCAGGCAGACTGAAAGAATCATGTTTTTACATCAGAAAGGACAGAAATGAAAGGTGACATGATTTAAAACAACAGTACGAAGATGAGAGATTGGAAGCTTTATCTGTATTATAACAAAAACTTAATTACAAGGCATACTGTGGGTAATGAAATTATGGACGAGTTTTTGATGAACATGGACTTTCACTGCAATTGAAGATGTAGGCAATTACAAAAATGCATAAATTCTTAATTAGTTGGAAGGAATATTAATCTTGATGCTTTAGGTTGTACATCAATCTAAAAATTTTTGAGATACGAGTTAAACCTACTGTAGCAGATTAAGACATATCTGCCTACCAGGCACTTCTTGTACGTTATGCTGGCCGGCATCACATGCAGTCCCTTCATCATCTTCACGGCCTTTGCTGGAGGCTCTCCAGTATGTCCCTGTCTCCCTTGTACTGGGGAGCCCAGAGCTGGACCCAGCACCTCAGCTGTGGCCTCACCAGTGCTGAGTGGAGGGGAAGGAGCCCCTCCCTAAGCCTGCAGGTAACGCTCCTCCCGGGGCAGCCCAGGACACCGTAAGGCTTCCTCACGACAAGGGCACGCTGCTGGCTCACTCAGCCATTAAGCGCAGGTGGAGCATTAACTCCAGGAGAAGGCAAGACTGGGCAGTAACAGGGAGCTGAAGGAGGACTAGGGCAGATATCCCCTCAATAAGGCAGGTTCACAGTGTGGACAGCAGACCAGGTGGATCCCCGCTCCAACCCAGAGCAGCAATTTCTGCATTCCTATGCTGCATAGCCTCTCCCTGTCTCTCTGTCACACTTGGTACCATTTTTGAGCAACGTGCATGACCTTTTCAGATACTCCACAGCAGGAACATCTGCTTTATCTCATGGAGATCACTTATTTGCGCCTACAGTTCTGTCGATGGCTAGGTGCCAACAAAGGTGATCTCAACGACTTCTGGACGATCCTGAAAAAGATGAATCTTTTGCGTGCGTTTTCTTCCACCTTGTTGACCATTTTTCCCCACGCAAAATCATAAAAAAGGGAGAGATCCACTTTTTGTGAAAATTTCCTATTGCAATTTTAAAAGCTCACTGCTTGAGATGAGAAACAAGCTGTATTCCACTTTTGTCATCAGCTGTAAATGTTTAAACAGTAGGACACAGAGCTAGGAGGTCTTGGCCCATCAAAAGACCACTTTTGGATGGCAGCAGATGGTACCCAGGGTGGATCTGCAGCAAGGGCACCTTTCCCAGAGCCTGAACAGCATACAGATGCAAGTTGAAAAAACACCTCAGGAAACTTGCTAGAAAAACTTCACATTGCAAAAAGATGCAGGTTGGATCAGATTAGTTAACTGAAGTTCAATCCCAACTTTGGAGTTGCTGCTGCTATTCCACAGAAATAGGTATTTTTAGTACTATTACTCTATTTTTTTACTATTGCAATAGCAGCATCACACCCTTCTGAACTCTGGCTTGAGTCCTGTCCTGTGCATCTGCTACATTAAATATCCTATTCTCTTTAAGAATGGAAGTACCATCTCCCTGCCTGCAAGTCAGCTTTACTGCTGACCTTTCACACACAGGAAATCAGGCTGGTAATAAAAAAACCACATGGCATCAAGTATGTGACAAAGTGCCCAGAACATTTTGTTTGACATCCATTGAGACGACCTGAGCAGCTCACTCATTGCTTCATCATTTCTGATTAACGCACTCACCCAAACGCAGGCCAGTAAAACCCTTTCTGAAACTACGCTCCATTTATTGGATGACAGTGATGTTCACAGGACAGACTGGAGAGCACATGACTACTCAGTATACATATTAGTAACAAACCGTATTACAACCCTGTAGGCCTATCCCTCCTGCCTCCTCACGCATCCCTTGTGAAATCCTGTAACTTTCAAAATCCTGACAAGTTTTTATAGTGCCAAATTGAAAACAGCATCACAGCAATATTTTTTTCTGCCTCTTTCACAGTTTATTTCCCTTCTAAACCTGTTCTGGGCTTTAGCATAAGATGGGTCAGATTTGGTCCACTCCTAGCATGTGAATTTCTGCAGATAAAAATTCTCCCACTACAGTGAAGCTGGCTGTTCAAGTGCCTGCTGAGCAAAAACTATGAACTTCATATACCTGGGAAACAGATACCCAGATGCCATCCAGTGGCCCTAGAAGGAATCCAAGGAACTTCAAAGACATTTTTATACATAGGAAAGTGATTTTAAGTCATTTCAGGGGATTTCCCCCCGTTTTTAGTGTTTTTAATTTAACTTTGATCTCACGTCCACAACTGTGTCTAGGTCTGAGGGATTCTAAAGGAAGATCTCCAAAGCAAGCTGTCAGCTTTTTAAGTAAACTAACAGCTTAAAATTTCTGGTATCTTTAGTGTCACAAAGACATTACATTGTATAAGGTTTTTTTAATTGGAGCTGATGTATGGAACTTGGGGCTTAAGTAAACTAACAGCTTAAAATTTCTGGCATCTTTAGTGTCACAAAGACATTACATAGTGTAAGGTTTTTTTAACTGGAGCTGATGTATGGAATTTGGGTTTTTTCCCCAGTTATCTGCCAATGCAATCACCACAAACTCATGACAACAAAACGTCCTTACTGAAGTACCGTTTCTCTTCTTTATACCCAATACTCGTACGACAATAACAAAAGAAAAAGAAAAAAGAATTTATTGACTTGAATAGTATTTAACCATATTCCTCATGAATTAAGATTCTTCTATGTATTTGCAAGAGAGAAGAGCATATAAACAATACCACAGCTTTTACTGGCACAAACCTAGTGTGATCATATGATTCCTGCCTGCCTCAAGTATAAACTATAGAGGTCATTTTAAAATGGTATAACCAGATTTACAGCATTCCACCTCATATTTTCTTCATACCTATTTTTTTCTTTGTATGCTACATTATTTTCAAAATGAAATACATTCCAAATCTATAGTTGGATAAAAGCTATAAGCAAGGATCAAGCATATCATAAAATCAAAGTATTCAGATTCCAAAAGCTGTTTGTAAGATAATTTTCTTTGTCACTTCCTATATGCCTACGAGGGGACTGATCCAGAGTAAAATGAAAACAAAAGGTCAAAATCCTGGCCGTGGTTAGGTGCAGCAATAAAAGTCTTACTGATTTCAGTAGGGTCAAAATTCCATCTACAAGGATTACTTCCTTTGACCTAAATGTGCTTTGAATCAATCCCTAATAGCCTTTGAGAGGCAAATGGTTCCTTTCATTTGGGATTAACTCATAGTATGCTCTATGGTGTGATCAGATGTTGTTGGCTTTTTACATCCAATTACAAGGTGATTAAATAATTTGCAAATTCAAAACACCCCTCTACTTTTTTAATGAATTTTAAAAAGAAATTAAGATTTAATTCTAAACGGTTATAAACCACAATATTTTACTTTGACATTGACAACAACAATGCCTTATTACTGCTCACTGTGGTCAAAATGTTCAAGAACTACTGGAAACATAATTCCTCTCTGAGCAGAAAGAACTCCAAAGGGTCTTATCTTTGAGCCTCAACATGGACTTTGCCATAGCTGTTAGCTGAGGTGTTTCTAGCACAGGTCCCTCAATTATTGTACCCAGCGGTCAGAACACCAAGGAGCAGCCGAAAGTCGAGATGTGAAATCAGTGACGTCAAGGTTCAGGACACAGATTTAGCACAGAGATGCTGCATCTTGTCTGCCCTCTGCATCAGGGGCACGGGATGCAGACCAACCGTAACACAGGCACTTCAGAAAACAAGTGGCTCTTTAGCCATGTTGACACTGACAAAATTATCCTTGTATGACACTGCTTCAGTTTAAAAATGGCTTTCAGTTTGAGCAGGACCGGAGGAAAAGTGGAGGTGAAACTTGACCCCGTGCAACAGAAAAATGTCCCTGAAGGAGTCTCCCCCTTGGACGGACGCCTCTCGGCCAGGAAAGACAGACAGCAACCAGTCCCTCATGCCTCTGACTGGTTTGCGTCTTCCACCACCAGCGTGAGGATAAAAGCTCTCTTGTGCTGCTCTGAGGCTCATCTGACCCTTTAATGAGCTGATTCAGCTCATTAACCTGACAAGGAATGATCCCTTGGTTTTTTTGTTTGCTGTGTTTGTTTCCTAGAACCAGATAAAGGAAAATAGTGGGAGCATGTGTGTGTGGGTGGAACAGCTCTGCCTCCTTCAGCAGCAAAATTCTTAGATCAGCCTGTAAAATGTTATCCTGCTTTTCAAAGGTAAGGTAGATCTTGACTTACGAAAGAAAATCCTTCAGGGATTTATTAAAAAGAAAAATTATGAAAGTGCTGTTACTTGACAAGTTGGGCTTCAGTGAGGAAACCAGCTTTAAGAAGCAGGTTTTCCTTCCTGCCCTTCCCCTCACCCGTCAGTCCTCCTACACCTTGTTAATACAATTGTTCATGGGGCCATTCTGAAACTATCTTCATTAACAAAATCATTCACCCACCCTCAAAGTTATTCTTCTGCCAGACCATTTAATTGCAGTGGTTCCTAGGACGGTCTTTCAGTCCACAGGAACTGCCACACAGGCAGTGAACAGAGGCATCACGACCTACAGGCGGGAATCCTATTTTTTTAAGTTGGCTCTGCTGTGAAGCCTATGTGACAGACAAACAAAAGGTAAGGGAAGCTGTGGACTGGGGACAAGATATGAGCAAGAAGAATCTCAGATAATTCTCAGCCACAGACAAGGCGTGAGAAGGAGCTGAGGAACAACAGGCAAAGCTTCACAGCATCACAGCATCCTTGCTGGCTTCACAGCATCCCTGAAACACCAGAGAAGTTCTTAGACTCAAATGCAGGAATGGATGCATGTATGCAATGTGCAACCCTCCAAGAAAAACTTCCATTTTGCTCCCAAATAGACTAGTCGTAATTAATAGCAATTTCTCTGGGACATCTGTAAATGGTTACAGGCCAAATGAAAAAAAAGACCCTCAGCTGTAGAACTGCTCTCCCTGAACTCTACAGGTATTTCCTCAAGCACCTGACATTCGCTACTGGCTGGGTACAGAAGTGATTTTGTAAGCCTAATTCACACAGTAATGAGCTCAAAAGCAGAAAACCTTCTCAGACCGCTTACCTCTTTTGCACTTTTAATTTTGGCCAAGAAAGTGTACAGTTCCATTGTTTCAGCAAACAGAGCCCGACATACTGCTTGGTAGTGGTTCGGTGCCTCCGATCGGGTTGGCAGGTGGGCAGCACACAGCTAGAGAGAAAAATACATAGCAATTATCAAAACAATGCCCCATTGCTTTCATTAATGCTACAGACCATGCGATAACATGAAGGCGAATGCAACGGAATATTTAGGGCACAAAAATCCATGAGACATTTAAGTTTAGGCAGAAATTGGGGGATATTCTCTAAACCTTCTGCTGTCACTTATTTTATGAGAAGAGGTCTATAAGGACGGTAAGGGGGACTGGCTGACTGCGTCCCGGAAAACTCTGAAAACCAAGATATTGCCTTTTCATTAAGGAAAAAAAAAAACAAAACCCAAACCCAAAAACCAGATAGACAACATAATTGTAAAGGGGAAAAAAGCAATCTTGTAGCATCAAATGTTGGGAAAACGCACTTAATTCAAACCAGCTTTACCAGTAAGTGTTGTTCAGCTTCCTATGAGTGTGGAAGAAAACTGTATCACAATTTATGAAAGGATGGAAGGTGAAGCAAGGAAAAAAGTAAAGTGTAATCGTCAAGTTGAAACTCTGATTTAATTTATTTCAAGCAGTACAAAGACTTAAAAAATCAGCAAGAGCCACGCAAGTGCAGGCTTACTGCTTCACCTCAGACATTCATGGACATTTCCAGAGCCAGGCACAGCGGATGTAAAGAGACACCGATAGATGTTTTCATATACGCTAAACTTGCAAAGCTCCAAAAGCCTACTCCAGTCACTAATAATCATTCACAACTACTGTTAAGCAGTCAGTCCAGCATTGCTTTTAGAGTAAACCATGCAGCTCCCATTTCTGACAAGAGAAGTGTCACTGAGACCAGCCTTTGTATTTTAAAAACAGAGAGCCTGAACGGTACAAGCAACATCCAGCTTCATGAACATGAACATCCAGCTTCTACTACCGTAGAACAACTCAGCACTGACGCAAATAGTTGTAATATCTTTTTCCCCTAAGTCAAGTCCATCACCTGTAAGTATTCATCATGGAAATCTTGGCTGGAAACGAACACAACAAAGTTACATCTGTAAGTTGTTCCCTAAACAGCTTTAAGTCAAAAAAACCCCAAAGCCAAAACTAAAGCACCCATATCATAAGTCATACTGGTGCATATATTAAAATAAAATATATTAAAATAAACCAAAATCTTAACAAAGGCCTTAAAATTTGTCTTGTTACTGTGGTTTTATCCTAGCTATTTATTATATATATAGCTGTATTCAGAACTATGGAGCTAAAACTAAGAACAAGCCAAAACCCAAGGCAGTAGGTGGCTACGTTCAGATCTCCAGGACTAACACTTGCGACAAAAGCCTCTTTAGAAGAGCCCTTAATTAGCCTAGTGGCACATTTGTCAAAATCCCTCCTGTTATTATGGTGAACACGGTGGCTACAAGAGACACAATGCATGCCGAGCTCAGGCTGCTTTTTCATATCGCTTTCAATCCGATTTAAATGCGTAGGGCCACTACAAGGTGCGGTCCTGTGGTCTCCAGCTGTACGTGGCCGCTGAGGGATGGATGCCCTTACGCTGGCACCAGAGCTCCTGCCCTAGCTCAGGGAGGGTTCCTTGCCCCGACAAAAATTAACAACATGATGGAAGCGGAGCAGGAGACAATTCTTCTTCACGGCACGGACATACACGTAGTAGCGCGGGCGAAGAGGAGCAAGGGGAACGGGTCGCCAGCATGGGGCAAGGGAGGAAGGGCTGAAGGATTGCTTTCGGTGGCAGTCAGACTTAGGTGGGCTCAGTCTCACTGACAAGTCGCCTTCTAACGTCATAGGCCCCTTCCTATCTTTTATTATAACAATACGGAGTTCAGTGGTCAGATTTGGTCAACTTCTTTGATAAATTTTTACAAGAACAATTTGGACTCCGTCAATATTGTATTCTGATTATTGTATTTTAGTCATTAAAAAGAATATATATATAAGGAAAGTTTATATGTGTGTGTGTATTTTCCTTCCTTCCTATACACTTTCCTTATATATAGGGAACACAAGGCAGACATGTTCACAAAACTGCCCTCGGGTCCTCCTTTTCAAATTTTACACTGCTTTACTCTTCAAATTTTTTTCTGAATAATCACAAAGACATAGTTGACAGAAAAAAACCCACTTTCTTCTTTTTTTCCCTTTCTCCCCCCCCTTTTTTTTTTTCATTTGTAACGAATCATATCATCTTCTTTGCAGATAAAGGGAGAAAAACCAAAACCAGATGCACCTCTAATGTGTGCTACAGTGACAACACATACCACAAAGATAGAAGCTATTAAATATTTCCCTTGACTTAATGAAAAAGTCAGAACACTTAAAAGACCAAACTCCAAGTATGGTTAATTTAGGCTCTCAATAACTAATCGTGTCCTTACCTGCCTTACTATGTCTTCAGTAAGCTATTTCTGGTTATTAACTATAGTACAGACAAAAAAAGATTTCATTCTAAAATACACCACTTAGAAGAATAACAATAATAACAAAAGCAATTGCAAAAAAGTCATAAAATGGTACAAGTCTTCACAGCTGAGAATAAAATTTTATTACTATGCAGATTGAACACAGGTTTTTAAGAATGCTTTTTTTCTTTATTTAGAAGCATATTAATTAAAAACCATTTGCATCAAATATTGAGAAAGTTAATGAAATGCAGTAGTGGCAAGTTGAAGCAGGGGCTGGATATAATCTTGATTCCATTATTGAACATAAAGTAAAGCAAAAAAAAAAAAAATAAATTAAACGCCTGCTGCTGAACTTAGTTACAAAAGCAACCACATAAAAAGTTAACTTTTGGTTTGCAAACATTAGGCTGCAGATATTAAAAGAGGGCCAGCAGCTCCGACTAACTTCCATGTTCTGAAAAATCCATCTCTGAGTGATCTCACGTTATGTGAAGATGCATTACATACAAAAACCACTTGTGGTAACATTAAGTCAAGTGACTTAGCATAAATTTTTGGTTCGGGGAAGGTAAGCCTGAAGACAAAGGAAAATGCAAACAGGACAGACCGATTGCCCCCCTGCCCTCCTTTATTGTAATACATTGTACTTCTATGTTGTTTCAGGTGCCTGACAAGCTGTAACTTCTACGTGAAATGATACCACAAAATCTAGGCATGTAAGGCAAATCAAGTATGAAATGTCACTTCTAGCCCGAGCTCAGGATTATCCACTTTAAAAAAAAAATAAAAATCACATCTTTAATTTTATGATACTAGTGTTTGAAAAGCTACATTACTGTAACACACCACAAAAATCACAGTCAGAATGTTCTAATAATTGAGATACGAAAGGACAGCCACCTAACAAACTCCTCTTCCTCTGACCATGCCATAACTCTCATGGTACAAGAAGGATTAAGATCAGGTCTGCGGTCTTTTCCAGCCATTCAGAGTTCATCGAGGAAGGGAAGCCTCCGTATGCTACTTATTCTGACACTTGCCTTTCCATCCCTCGGGATACAACTTAAGACTATCCTAAGGGGAATGAACGCAAACAGTGCCCAGAGCTTAATGCAAGGGCCATGTGCTCTGTTTCCCAGAAGTCTCAAAAAGTATGGTTGAAAACAAATTATGTGGTCTTTGCAAACTGGTGAAATATCAAAAGTATTATCAACTACTGAAACATTAACTAGCTTGGTCTGTATTTCCATTTCCAACCATTGTGAAGAGCTGGGATTTATTTTTTTTTCCGCCCCTAACTGAGCCTATCCAAACCCCAGCTTGACCCAAAGTATTCAATCTTTGCTCAGATCACTAAGAAGATTAGAGGCTGTTTCCATCCACACTCAGGGTTCACAGAAAAAAAAAGGCATTATGTAAATACCACAGCCTTGCCAGCTCCTCTATCCAAATTCATCCTCAATTGACTAGGAAACAGCGTGCCCCAAGCCAAAGTAGTGTTAACAGAAAGCACAATTTAACCATCCAAAGCAATCAAACAGCATTTCTTGCATCTGTTTGAATATATTCCATCAAGGGCTCCATAAAATTACAAAAAATACAACTGAGTCACCCACTAAAATTCAGATAGGTTCTGCAAAACCTTTTTGGCTAGCTGTATACTGGCAGCTTCATCAAAGCACCTGGCCTGCTGGAATTAAGATCTCAAAAGACAAAAAGTGTTTCCACTTGCAACCACCTTGGGCAGAGGGCCTGTATGAATGCACCACAAAGAAGAAAAGGATTTATTTTTCCCACAGAGACAAGCTATCGATATTATGCAAAACATACTACCAGCCTGCAAATGCCAGGCTTGTTAAGTGTTTTGAAAGACTTGGCATATTAACACAGACTTAAAAGACGTACTTTTTCTTAAGCAACAAGAAGGTACTTTAACCAACAGGTCACTGAATATAAAGGACTTACGGGGAATGCTAGCGAGGTAAGACTGCACTAAGACAAAAGAGATGGGAGCAGAATTAGCTATTAATCCACAAAATAAATTCACAGAAAGTACAGAAAGTACTCACACGAAGTTACCCTTCCTGGAGAGCTAACTGCAGCAGCTTTGTAACTTTTTAAACTGATATTTTAAATGAGCATTTGCAAGTACCATGGAGCGTCCAATTGCTTGACATGTCAGCTCCTAATTAACCACACACACCTCAAGGAAAAGGCAGGTTTTGTGGAAATTGAGGCAAATTGCCAGTACGCTGGTGTCAAGCACATCTACTTCGTGATTTAAGTGTTCTCCAGAAATCTGGCGAGGCTTTTCCCTCGCGTTGGTATTTGTTGTTTTGATCATGTTTTCCATTGCTTTGAGGCAGACGAGAACTATGTAGTTCTCTGCTTACACAAGTTCAGAATTTAATGGTTTAAGTGATCCTCCCCATAAAATGACTTAACAAATACATTCTTTCTTTACTGATTTTCCTTTCTAATATGAAAACTCAAAAGCAGCAGCAAAGCTATTGCATTTAGCAATAAGAGGTACAATTTGATGAAACAGTGGCCTTGGTTGGTTCCCTCTTTCAGGATCGTAAAAACAAGAAAACAATGTAGCTGCTGAAATTAAAGCCAAAACTGTG